ACACCTCTTACTTTATCGCTATTTGACTAATCAGTAATGAAATGCAAGCAAAGAGATGCAAATTATCATCAAAGTTCTGGACAAAGCAATAGTCCTAATAGATTATAATTCCGATAGTATAAAAACAAGTTTCAGCGGCAGTGCACTGGAATGAAAGCGAGTTTAATATTTTAACCGTTCCCATTAGAAGATTTAGTATTGCCGAACTAAAGTTTTTGGCTTCAACCCCGTTAGGATCGAAAACAGAAATAATTGGGGAATAACAAGTAATTTTTAAGCAAAAAATAAAATCGACTTCAATTCTCATATAAAACTTTAAGAGTACCGTTAATTTCTTCATGATGCAATGATTGGATCTAAGCCAAATTAGTATGGGGCCTTCTCTGAGGTACCAACTTTCTTTAAAAAAAAAAATGATAGAAATCGGTTGCTTTCATATAACGAATAAACACAATTTATTTTTATATGGAAGAAACCCGCAACACTTTCGACGAAAAAAATTCTATAAAATCAACGGTGATTTTTAGCAACATGAAACTTGCACATTATTAGACTAAAATTTAATGGGATATATAAAATTGTGTAATCAAAAAAATTCTAGCGCTTCTGAGAAAAAAGTTTGAAATTTGGGTAAAAAATATGTTGGACTTTTTTGCGGTCTTTTAAAAAGCTTTAAACTTGGGTTTATATGAGTTTTTTGAGAGAATGAACTGTATTTCAATTGAAAACTCCAAAAAAAAATTAATAAATAAAAACATGAGAAGCAATCAATATCACTTTGAAATGGGAGTGCTATTGTATTGGCCAATACTGTTAGTATCCATATATGCCATGTACATACATATATTTATATTTTTTTTTATAAATAGGTGAAATGATTTTGCTTTGCGAACATTTAATCATAATAAACGATCACACAAACACCTTTTTTAAGTACTTTACATACATATGTATATACTTGAACCTTTAGTTTATACTATCATTGCCATTTTCTAGATCCTTCAAATAACATATTTGAATTCTGAATAAAACCATGGCGGAGTCATACCAAGCGCGATGGAATAAAACCATCTAGAAATGCTATGAGCAAACACATTTTAGTCATAGAGTTCAGCAACCCCACGACACCCAACCCCGACAGGGAGCGGTTCATCTTTTAACACAACTAGGACAAAGGAATTACATAGATATGTACATATGTATATTCCAGTGTATGCCAAACTTTGTACTGGTGATTCAGTTGTGCCGTGTCTGTGGATAAGCTGCAAATCACATCTATTTGCTGCTTATATACGAATTTGCCACCTAGTTGCGAACTTCGATGTACTCGTTCTTCACTCTTTTGTAACACCTTTAAAACCGTTTGACCATTATAAAGGCACCTGACATACATATATATGTATTGTACATACACCTAACTATATGTATGCAAATATCAAAAAGTATGTTTTTAATCGATTTTTTCACTCCACGCGAGTGCATTAAATTATTACTTGATACGAAAGAAAGTACTTAGCAATTTTCGACATGAATGAAATGCAGCACACCAGATGTTTAGCACATAAATGCTAGAACAGAGCGAATTTGGGCTGGAAAAACTAGACTTATTTTTAAACTCTCCGTCTCTGCCGATATCATGAAAAGTGCAGAGTTGTGCACAACACTGCGTTGGCCCTTACGCCATTTGAAAACACAACTTGGTATTTTCATAGAAAGGGCGTTTTTCTTCAGCACGCACGCACCCATTCCTGGAGTGGTGCACCATGGTGATGATGACAAATAGATTTTTCTTTTCAGGTTCACACAATAGCAAATGTTTGCTGCGCAGCCACCGATGTCTTTCGCTCAGCTGCGCCGCTGCCTTCAAGGTTGTTCGCCAGCTCTTCAACAATCGATCGTTTTATTATCCTCCAAAACCAATAAATTTCATGAAAATTTCTTTGCCAAAATATCATCTGCATCCAGCTGAATATTAATTTGTGCTTTTTCGTTGATTTAGAGCTTTACCTTCTTGATTATTTGATGAAATTTGCTGTTCGCCCACAAGACTCGCCATATTTTTTCACTTTTACATCAGTCACTTGGAATTTTTCACAGTTTTAGAACTAATAATGACGACGACTGCGAAGGCAAAAAACGAAAACGGCGATGACCGATGACAAAAGAAACGGGCCAAAACACGGTTCTGTGACATCTATGTGTGAAGTGTGAAGTTGCTTTGTAGCACGAATCGGTTAAGGCCGGTCTACATAGAACTTTCGCGTTGGCTTTGGTGCTTTGGTGTTGGCGTTGGTTTGACAGGACGCACTAACCACTGTGGAACTAACGACAGATAAATTAATATTTCATATCAATAATTGCATTAAAAACGATATTTCTTGCCCGCACTTGATTAAAAAGGAAAAATTGGCTTCGCCGTGACTTCCTCCGCCTGAGATAAAAAGGGGTAAATATATATTTCGGTGTGCGTTGTTGCAAAACATGATTCAATAAATGAAGTTTTGCTCCAAGGTGAATTTATACAGGCGAATTTAGATTTTCGCCACGGTACTTCTTAATGTCAAAATAGTGCGTTTGTTGTAATATGAATTCGCCTTGTTTACAACAAACACATAATTTTGACATTAATAAGTACCGCGGCGAAAATCTAAATTCGCCAGTAACACCACCTTGTATAAATTCTCCTTGGCTTGCTCATTAAGAGCCGTTTACATACGACTTTCCTCGCTTTGCTTGACAGTTAGAACTTAGAGAACTAAGCGTGAAGCTTAGAAGGTATCCTACAATAAACGCTTTGCCAGCTTCTGCGTTCTCTTTTTCCTACATGTTTTATTTGTGTAAAAGAGATAACAATGTAATAATATGCATAAATAATAGCAATAATAATTCATATTTACTAGACTTTTGTCATTAAAAGCAAATGCAAGCGCGCGAAAAAAGAGAGATGTAGACAGCTGATTCCCAAAGCACGCAAAAGTTGAGAGTTGCACATGATTTTGCTTCGGTTTGCTTTCCTCGCCTTCTATTTAGCAAGGCTCATATAAAATCATGTGTTGAACTTATCTGTCAAAGCTGAATTATGAAGCAAAGCGAAGCAAAAGTCGTATGTAAACGGCCTTTTAGTTGCCGGCAATTTGGTAGTTTGACAGCTACATTTTCATTTGCACGAAAACTTCGTGGCTGCAACATCATTATTATTTTAATATAAAAGCAAAAATTGAGCTGTTTCCTGTTAAAATATTTGTAATTATGAACTTGGATGTAAAAAAGCCTATTTTACAAATTTTTTATGCGATTAAATCCGGCAAAAATACATTTTCGAAGCTATCTTATGCTTATATCAAGATATTAAAAGTCCACACAAATATTGCCACTGATATAACTTATACTTAGCGACCAAAATGACAGCTGGGCAGCAATAAATTTTATCCTGTGGAGACGGCCAGTTACAAAAGCTTTGCACATACACACAAACCCACACACAGTGCCGCGGTCCTAATGTCAAAATGATGTGTTTGTTGCAAACAAGACGAATTCATATTACAACAAACACATCATTTTGACATTAAGAAGTACCCCGGCGAAAATGTAAATTCGCCAGTAACACCACCTTGTATAAATTCGCCTTGGTCAAGAGGGAGCCAGAAAACCATGCGAATTTATACAAGATGGTGTTACTGGCGAATTTAGATTTTAGCCGCGGGCCTTGTGAATGTCAGAATGATGTGTTTGTTGTAATATTAATTCGCATTGTCTACAACAAACACATCATTTTGACATTCAGAAGGACCGTGGCGAAAATCTAAAATAGCCAGTAACACCACCAAGGCGATATTTAAAATTTGAACAATTGAAACTCAAATTTAAGGAAACAAATCAAAATGAAAGTAAATAATATAGTTGACTGAGGGTTGCACAGCACAAAACGCAAATTTGCGCGACGAAATTGTCAAGAAAAGTTGACATTTCATTTGCGGGGGTTTAAAATAGCACAGATTGCCCAGTTTGCGAGAGTTTTGCGCTTTCAAATGAGTACCCTTAGTGTATCTTCCAGAAAGGGTTGCTAGGTTTCCGCAAAACTTAAGGTCTTCTTACACGATATGTATTTGCATCCATAAAAGTGACTTTTTCAATACATATGTAATTGCGTATGTCTGTCAAATTCACAGTCTTCATTTAACTATTCAAAAATACGTTCTTTGAAAACTCAAATGAATCTATCTGTGTGTCAGGTGAAAATAGAAACATTTCTATTTCGCATGTACGTGCTTCTGCTTTGTACCGAAACACATCAAATTTGCCTTTACACGATATGTTGGCATTTCCATATGTAAGAAGTGGCATTTAAACATGAAAATACATATCGTGTAAGAACAACTTAAATTATTTTTCTGGATTGAGCGCATCAGACCGCAACGCCTGAAAAACCTACGATGGAGCTTCAGCTTTAGGGCTAAAATGAAATTCATGGTAAAGAAGATTTTTATGCTATTCCGACCAGCTGGGATAGACTGTGGTAGGAGTATTGCACACAGCTAATTTGTGTGACTTGCAGAATAAAGTAATAATAAAAACCCGCCTTAAATTATAATAATCGGAATCAAAGTTAAGGGGGAAAAAATGGTATCAAAAATTAAATCCAGATTGTACGCTAATCTGTTTTTCCATTGTTTGCACTCATACTAATGCTCTTGGCATCCCTGTTCAATGGAATTTCAGCTGTCAAATCATTTCCACTGCGGTCTCTGCCGACGTCTGCTACTGTCAGTCACCATTCATAATTCGTTGTTGTAGTGAAATGTTTTTTGGGTGGAACCGCAGCTAAATTGGTAACGTCAGACGATTTCTTTTAAAAACATTGCAAACTAAAGTAGAAATTAATTAGAAAATTCAGTAAAATGTCGCGAAGCAATACCGCACAAGGCAGTGGATCATCCTTGCAAACATACAAACTAGTGATTGTTGGAGGTGGTGGCGTAGGAAAATCTGCGTTAACAATACAATTTATTCAGGTATGTTTAAAGCGACAAGTTTCCATCGTAGAAATATATATTAGGGAGTGGGAGGAGCTGGCCATAAGTTTGAAAGCGTAACAAGTTGATTTGGACAATACATATTTATTTGGTTTGGCGACTGAGGGGCAGTGTCCGCTGCAGCTACGCATGTTCCCATTTGTGATTATACGCAGGCAAAGACCTTGGCTGAATGTATGTATGTACATGTGTATGTAAATATGTAGATTCACCAAAAAAACTTGACATTCATGTGTCGTTTTATATTAATATAAGTCGTTGCTGCCATTTGAGGCAGCAGTTGCTAGCTTCTATAGGATGTCGAGACCATAAATTCGCGGTTTTCGTTGCTGCGGCCACAACGCCACGTTAGCACATATGTACATACATACATACTAAGTTTGTATATGACGAGCAACGCCCACATTGTAGCGTCATCTTAAATCATATTCTAACTCAAAGTATGTCTATTGTTTGGCGATCTTCACCATAGGCAAATAGCTAAAGCATATACATACATAAGCATGCACGTATGTAGATTCAACCATATGCAGCTCCGCGCCTACAACAATAAAGCTTTTATGTTTACACATATGTATGTATGTGCATACATACATATATGCAAATATGTACCTTTGCATGCCTATGTACATCTGCTCGCGGCCTCATACCGTAGATGACGTACACTTTGATACCCTCCTGTCTATCAATTGCTATAAAAATAACAAATGGTGATACGCTGCATGGCTTGGTAAGCGAAGCATTTTCTAAAGGATTAGAATTAGAGAGTTATTGCTGGCTTTAAACAAACAAATATTGCTTCATATTTAGTTCAGCGCCAAGCTATGTACATACATATGTAATGGCAAGCAATATTTGTTTGCCTTAGTACACTTAAGTGTGTATTTTTAGATATTTACGTCATCTGCAGTTATTGCTTATGTATAATTTCCTTAGATTCTATTTTGAAAACAAGAATGTTCTTGATGATGGCAAGATTTTGATATGTGGACAACTGACAGACGAATTATCATTCTTTGACTGCAAGTCAAGAAGCCATTCTCTTCAAAAAATTTTTCCATTATCAAGCTTATGTTTGTATAAACGCCTTTAGTGATTATGTACAAATTCTTTATGTCTAAAATAACTTCTGTTTTTTGAGTTATGACGATCTTGTAGCACTCAGCTAAGATTATCATTTAAAGTAACAGCCGAGTTTTTATCAGTATATTTAGTAAATGTTAGTCTTTTGCAAATATTGTTACCTAAACCAGTTACGTGGTCTACGTTAAGGTTTGATAGTAGAAAATATACTTACTTAAAAAATGTGGGTGTGTATAACTTATAGATTAATAAACATCTATGTAAATGTATACATGTATACAATGTACGGTTTAACATACGTACATACATAAATCTTGTCATACAATTTCGGTAACAATTCTGACCTTGATAAAAAAAAATTTGGCGGTCACATCTCCTTAAATTGGTGCTGAGCGTCTCATGGAATGGTATCTTTCTTTAAATTATTATACTTATGAAATTAAAATTTTTCATCATTACATATACATAAATCCGAATCTCAGACTTTGTGCAAAAATTATGAAAATTCTGCAAAGTTTGACCAAAATATCTAACTTTCTGCTGATTGAATCTTTAGACAAAACTTTGGTATGCAGTTTTGTAGCCCATTTTGGCTATTTTTTGTTTGTTGACTGTGTTCCGCACTTTGTATGGAAAAAAGCGGAAAAAACCGTCGACAAAAAAAAACTGCCAAAAATCAGCGGTAAGTTCTAGCTACTGCAAATTTGCACTTTATTACACCAAAATTTAATGGGCTACAAAACTGCGCACCATAGCTTTGTCTAAAGAAGTTTATTAGAAAGTCTGAAATTTTGGCCAAACTTGGGACAATTTTCATAATTTTAGCACAAAGTCTGAAATGTGGATTTATATGGTGTTTGTTAAGTAATCAGCTAACTCTCATAAAAAATATTAAATAAAATGAAAAAAAGCCAAAACTTGCGAAATAGTTTACTATATGTGCGTACATATGTATATACTTTGAATATATTGAGTGATAGGACGTAATAGTAACCACTCCGCTAGCTTTTTCTTATTGTTTTATTTTAGATATGTTTTTGTAGAGAAAAATTGTAGAGAAATATTGAAAAATATTCTTACCACATTTGTCATTTGTTTCAAAAGCGTAAACACTGCACCTTCATCGCCCCTTTTTATCGTAAAAATTGACTTCCAAAAATCCGAGAAAGTATTTTAATCCACAAATTTCAATCTGATATTTCGCAAACTGTTATTTGTAGTAGGAGGTAATTAAAAAAAAAAACAACTGTAAGCTTGTCTAAAAACTGTAATTTATAGTTAGAACTGTGAATTTGTCAATATTGCTAGTAGTGTATAGTCGTTGGCATCATATACCGTATATTATACTAAAATTAACCTGTTGTTCCTTATTGTTATTACATATAAATATTTATAGTATGCTTAAAATCCAAATATTTTCATCCATATTTCAGAGCTACTTTGTTACTGACTATGATCCTACAATTGAAGACTCCTACACCAAACAGTGTGTCATCGACGATGTGCCAGCAAAGTTAGACAGTAAGTATCTATAAATTAATACCTAAAAAGACACTCTTGCAATAACACTCTTTCGCTTCTGCCACAGTTTTGGACACTGCCGGCCAGGAAGAATTCAGCGCCATGCGTGAACAGTATATGCGCTCTGGGGAAGGGTTTCTGCTTGTTTTTGCCCTAAACGACCATTCCAGTTTCGATGAAATACCAAAATTCCAAAAACAAATACTACGAGTAAAGGATCGCGATGAATTTCCAATGCTAATGGTTGGCAACAAATGCGATTTGGATCAACAGCGTCAAGTTTCGCTAGATGAAGCACAAACCATTAGCAGAAATCTCTTGATACCATATATTGAATGCAGCGCCAAGTTGCGGGTGAATGTCGATCAAGCCTTTCATGAGCTTGTACGAATTGTGCGAAAATTCCAATTGGCTGAACGCCCCTTCTTGGAGGAGAGCTACAATAGGAAGAGCAAGCGGAAATGTTGCGTGTTGTAATAGCAAAAAAAAAAAATCACACGTTAGGAAAAAGTAGAAAAACAAATACAGAATGACGCAGAAAGAGCAAAAAAAAAGGAATTTCAATGATGAAAAATTTAAATTTTATAATGGATGTTGATCAAGAACAAAATTTGCCAATGAACCAAACAACAAAAAATATATAGACATATTTCGAAAATAGCACAAGGAAAGCATGAATCTATGTCAGTTGTTTGCATACAAGCAGTCGCATGCAACTTTGACAAACAAAGGCACAAGTGCAATAAAAGAAAAAATAGAAAAAAGTTGAGAAAAAGCACTTCAAATCCGGTTGTACATGTATGCGACTCATATGAACTCATAAGAAATATAGTGCAACGCTATAACAACAATTGTACAAATACGAAATTCTAATGAAAGCCACCAGAGTCCATAATATTTACACACCAATGATCAGCATAGTATGTTAATGTTCTTCCTAAAAAAATCAACGAAAATATCGAATACCACCAAAAAAAAATCCAATTTCTTGTTTGTATTAATCCAAATAATAAGTCATTCGAAATGTTGTTAACCAAATTTATGCTGAATGCAAAAAAATGCGAAGGCTTCAGAAACACCAATTAAACAAATTTACATACATATATATACATATATACATATGTATATATGTATGTATGTACATTTATATAAAAAAAAAATGTTTGTGAATTTTATAAACTAATTACATCGTCAAGCGATTTAACTGTCTTAACTATTAAGTGTGTGAATTTTGTATTTTATATTAAAAAGCAATAGCTTATAATTTTAAGTGATAAAATTGCATAGCGAAAAAGTTTACGAATATGCCAAAAGAGATTTGTATTTTTATGCTTACTATTGAAGAACCATTTTTTGCTAATTATTGTCAAAAAAAAGTATAATAATTAAAATATTTAAAAATTGTATCATTGTTATTCGAAAAACAAAACAAAACAAAAAAAAATTAATGACCAAATAATTAGAAGAAAAGTTGGAACTAACAGTGAAATTAAACGAATAAATTTCGAGTGCCTACGTTTATATGTATGTTTGTATGTACACTTGTGTGTGTCGATAAGTCAAAATGTCGCCACTCATATGAGTTCGTTAAAACTGCTGCGCAATCTTGATACTATACATAATTCACGCTAACTACGCTTAATTAGCGCAAAAATATAATTCTTATTATTTAAGCACCCTTGACAGCAATTTTATTTTGTTAAATTAAGAATCTTGAAAGCACACAAATTCTCAGTTGATCACCTTTTGTAGTTAATCGTCTCACGTTGTATTTAAATTAGTATGTACCTATTTTTAAACAAACTCACTGATGTGTTTGCATATCGAAATCGCACAATTTTTTTATATTTTTATTTTTTATAAAAAAATGCAATTCACAAACAAATTGCGTGCACAAGCATCCCAAGGATTGCATATAATATAGCCATAAGTATATGTTTGCCTGCATGTGCAGTATATATTTTATGTTGTCATTTATTATTTTATACACTATATAATACATAGCTATATATGTATGTATTCTGTAAGCGCTAAACACTTTTACGGAATGAAAAAAATTGATTTAAATTCAATCAGTATGCTTTATTCGCAGCAGTTATAACTATACCACATACACCATACATACATATATTGTACGTATAATACTAATATTGTATTTTAAAATATTTTAGTGTTATATATTTACATACATACATATTCATGTAAAAGAAAAAAGTAAAGTTTATTAAAAAATAAAGTCTAATTTTATAAAATGAAAAATTAAGGCACCTTCAATGGTATTTGAATTTTTTAGTATGATTCGGGAATAAAAATATTTCATCTTTATACACTATTTTTTTAGAACTCTATAATAATTAGCAAAGTGATCGAAATTGACCAAATTTTATTGAAAGGAAAACTGCACAAAGGCTTCTCTCGGCTGTGGGAGAAACCGTTGTTCCACGGTACTACTAAGCCCCGCCTAAATCGGTAAGTCCATCAATCGTTGGCGTCAAGCTCAACTGCGCATGATATTGTGCTCACTTACGCGTAAATTTTGCGTAAGTCCCTGTGCAAGTGATGTTCTGGCGACATCAGAAGTCATCCCATAGCTGTTCGGATTGCTATATGGTGGCAGGTCTATAGCATCGTCCACTGCGTCCCACGTTCCTCCGGCGACCACACGCCGTCGGGTCCATTTCGTTGGGGAGAGCGCAGCGAAGAAGCACGAAATTTCGGAGAAATAGCCGTTTACTTTCGAGCAAAGGTCATCAATTCAATTGCCGGACGCCAATATCGAACAATTCTCGGCATGTGAGATCAGGAAAACTCGCGCTTTTCGGCATCAGCATGCAAATTCTGTCGGTGCCACTGGCTTTGGCAGCTTCCGACATCACTGCTGGCTACAATAGCTCGCGCATCTCTTCGGGACCCACGAGGTGTGACCATCGAATGAACTTTCCACTCACACACCCTAATGCGGAGATATGCGGGATCGAACTGGTGTAGGTGGTCATGCTCGTTTGAAAGACTACGATAAAGCGAGCCGCTCCAGCTGTGACTACCTTCGCGTCCGCGTACGTGTCGATCCGACAACCGACCCAGTAGAGAAATCAAAGTCTATTTGAACCACAGCCATCGAGCTGTATCCTTAAGCTGCCTTTACACGGGTCGATTTCTGTCGGCTGAAAAATCGACCAGCCACGAAACTTACATTATCCGGTTGAATTCCCATTTATACTGGTCCATTTTTATTGAACGACAAAAGGAAGCTTTAGAGTGTTATGAAAAGTCGAACGAGGTCTAAAAAGTCAAGTACCCTTTTGATCTTACTAACCAAGTAAGCAAACTAAGTAATGTATAGGTCCAGCTGTCTTTTGACGGTTGCCTTCCTCCGAACAAAACAGGCCAGAAGATGGATGGAATGAATGCTACTCTGAATTAGTGCTAGAAGGACTCTAACTAGTAAACCAATCTTGTTCCGACGAAGAATATGAAAAATGCACTTGAAGCAAGTATTTTAGAGTCTGACAGTTGTTAGTAAATGTGCCATCTTGCCTTCTTGGGAGTAAGGCTCTATCGATAGAATTTTATGAAGATGGGGAAGCCTCAGGAAGAGGCCTCATAGAGTCACATTGAAGCATCTAATAAGTTTATTGTAGCCCTTGGTGGTAGCCATGTACTTGTCTCAGTGAATGTAACGAATGATCTCTGTAATACAGATTACATATGTATATAAATCGCTTCAAATCAAACTTTCCCTCAATTAATCTTGATTCCCTTCTATCAAATACATTTCTATTAAAGGCTGTTGAGAAGCTTCTGATAAGTTTGTGCTTTGCATCCGGTTCCATCTCCCATCAGAGAAAATTACGTTTCATTAAAGAGGAACAAGAACTGTGCTGTCATGAGTCATGAGGGGATTCCAGCAGGGCTTCGTTGAGCAGATTCGATGTTACCTTTATTTCATTTCATATAGTTCAGTGAAGTTGAGTTCTCACATTCCTAAGATTTTTTAAAAGGTCTCACTTTGACTTTCCGGGCAGAGCTCACGTCCCATTTGAACTCGAACCTTATATTTTGGGGCCGAAGCACGACAAACCCAAGTAAATTCAGCAAATGGCTTGTTGCAGAGAGTAAGATCTAGTGCCTCTTCCCTTAAAGCGCTGCTGAAGATTCAGCTGGTTTACCAACTCCGCATTACCTATTAGTGATCTGCGTTGGGCCCTTCAACAATAATGTTAGGTGACCGAATCTATATCCGATTCAGTTCCTCATCATTACCATCATATATACGTGGTAAGACCATTTGAGCCAGCTTACCTATTCGTCAGCCTGAGCGAGACATTTCAGCCAGCGGCTAAGATCTGTTTCTAGGCCGCAATTGTAGACAGAATTTTCCCATCGCTAAAGTTACCACGGGGACCAGTATTAACATCACCAATAATGACAGCCACGAAATCCAACGCAGAATCATTCATCCCAACAAATGCTACTTTGGACAATTAGAAGTAAAGGCCTTTCTCAATGTACGCAAACAACAATGTATGTCACTCATCATGTCCATGCTGGAGTATGGTGCAGAAACATGGAGAATGAGAGCATCTGATGAGGAGACGCTTGGAGTATTCGAGAGAACGATTTTGCGAAACATTTTCGGGCCTTTAGGCGTTGACGACGGTGAGAACCGCAGATGATGGAGCGATGGGCTGTATAAGCTTTCCAACGACCTAGACATAGTGCAGCGAATTAAAATACAGCAGCTACCCTGGCTTGGCTATCTCGTTTGAATGAAATCAGACGCTCCAGTCGTGAAGGTATTTACACTCGCAATCCGCTAGTGCGGAAGAGGGAGGCCTGCTCTGCGACGGTAAGACCAAGTGCAGAAGCACTTGGCTTCACTTCCCATTTCCAACTGGCGTCAGCAGCACAGAAGAAAAACGACTGGCGTGCTTTATTGAACTCAGGCAAAATCGCTTGGGCGATTACAGCGTCAAAGAAGAGGACGAAGAAGAAGTAACCGTGAATTACGTGGGTTCGAGGGAACTCAGTTACCTCCACGATACATACGACACTTGGTCTTAATACCTTGGGTGTTTGTTTTCAGCCACCTCGCCATTTAAGAATTCAAACAGACGACAGGTGTAGCAGAAAGTTGAGACCGAGTTAAGCATAAGCCCTGCCAGTAATAAAGTGAGCAAACGGGTTGTTGCTTTTGGACAGTCGCTTGCGTACATACGAATGGAAAATGTCGCAAAAGTGTTCTCAGGAAATTCCAAATACAAATAATAAAGATGCGTAGAAGTCCTCGGATGTTTCGTTAGTGAAAAGCTTATATCAAGCACATCTCCTAGCAGCCCAAGATGCCTCTAGTTTAAGTGATTGTCTATACATAATAATTGGATCAGTCTTGAAATTAAATTAATTCGCTGTCTATAATAGCTTTCCAACTGTAGAGAACGAACCTTTTAAAGGACTTTTTAAAGCAACTCTCCTCTAGTAAGAATAGTTTTCACACGTCACCACCTCGCAAGATTACATAAAAAACAGAAATAAGAATGGAATACATATATATGTAATTATGTAAGTCACCCATTTTTTTGCTATTTTTAATCGAACTCGATTGCGTCATACGTACATTATTATCAGGGAAGCCAAATAAGTATGCGGCTAATTGAATAGCTAGACTACCCGTATCACCACTTAAATGCAAGAAGGATATCGGCGGCTGTATGTTGGTTGTTTCTTATAAAAACCGACATAAAACCCAGATGACCAAGCATCACTCAGCACAGTTCCGAAGATGTTCTCAACGCGCACACAACTTTTCGCAGCTCTATGCTTGCTAGTCTTGGCTGTGGCCCACTGTCAGGTGCTTTGATTGATTGATGAAATACGTCGCTTGGAATGTCAAGTAATAGAGTTGTTATATTTTTGCAGCTAACCTTCTCACCGGATTGGGGTAAACGTTCAGTGGTCGGCAGTGGTAGTGTGGGTAGCGGCGCGGCTGGCTTCTTCGATGCGCAGCCTAGTGGAAATTGTAAGACTTCGAATGAGATGCTGTTGGAAATATTTCGCTTTGTGCAGGTACGACAGGTGGGGCGTATGAGTAACTAAATATTTTTTTTTTTTAAAGAAATGTGCATGGAAATATGTACAATTTGTGAAATTTATTGCTAACATATTTTTTTGTATGTATATGTATTTCACAGGCAGAGGCGCAACTCTTCCTTGACTGCAAGCATCGAGAATAGGCGCTGTGCTTTAGTTTGACAGCATAAGTCAGCGCTTTAATAATTATCTATGTTTATTCCTTATTGAATATTTGATCAATCGTTAATTTGGGGTAGTCGGCATTAGTTTTAGATGTATTTTGTTTATAAAGCGTTTAAAATGCTATATAATTCTAACAAAAAAAAAGATTTAAATAAGTAATATCAATAAATGTATACTTCTGAAGAGATTAAAAATCAGTACTATCAATAAAATATTCATGTATGCATGTCAATAGAAATTTACGAGTAAACTTTTTTCTTTCGAATCCCTTAGCATACAAAAAGGCTATTTTCAGCTAAGACATGGCAAACATTTTCACTCAAACTGTATTCGTTGAAGGAACACAATAGAAGAGCTTCTTATAAGCAAAACGCTCCGTGTTCACAACGAAGCTTCTCAAGCGATTGAGATCCATCCCCGAAAGCTCATCGATCGTGTGGAAAAAGTGCATCCCAGCTTGAACCTTAGGATCACAAAGGCAGGTCACCAGAGCAGCAGGTGTTGCGCTGATTCCATCTCCGTAAGGGTCATCGATGATAGAACTCCTACCAATAGCGAGAGGTATGACTTGCTAAGTCCCAATATACATATTCATCTCCTTAAAAGGTGTCACACTGGAGAGGAACCAATACGAAGCATCCTTTATTGCAAAAAAGCGATAATGTAGCAAAGATGGTAATATCTACGTGAACTCGATAGTGCGTATTGGGGAATTAAAAGGGTATAGTTTATTCCCAAGGCAGAAAGAACTCACATCTAAGTACATATCTCCAAAGGATTTCAGATCAATCAGACTCTTTTCCTTGCTATTGAAGACTCTTTAGGGAATAATTGACCTGCATACAAGAAAAAGGATTCATCGGCCGGAAAACCGCCTTGCATACAATTGTACAGGTTATATAGAAGTATTTTACAAGAAGACAACAAGAACAAAGACTTCGTACTTGGTAACTTCTTTGTGGGTGCTTTTAATACTGTGCTACCGAAGGCCTCGAGAAGAACGTATTTAGGCTTATTTTCCGCATGCTCCCCGCTAGAATGTAGAAACGATGCTTCTGATGCTGCAGTCCGCGCTACACCAGGTTAAGAAGCACTGGTTTCTCGTTCAACTTGGAAACCTTGATTTCATACCTGAAAAAAAAACTTATCGATGGGTATTGAGGCTGGCTCCGAAGAGTTTATTTTCTTCACACATTCCTCTAAGGGTGAATGGTAGCGTGCTAGCTGCTGTATTAGAGGTCCAATTCACTTTTCCACCGATGGGTCGAAGTGGGACGGCAGAGTCGGAGGTGGTGTATTTTTTCAGGAACTTTCCGTAGATCTCATCTTTAGGCTACGCACCAGTGTAATACCGGTAAGAAGGGTAAATACCTATTTTCTATAGCTAGGCAGAAATCAAGGCCCTAGAATCGCTCCTGGTACGGTCGAAATTGGTCGGGGAATGTCATATCCCTCTCTTACTCACCTCATCTCTCTATAGATTTCCACCTTTTGGTGGTCATCTGTCCATAGCTATCTCGGTTAGTCTTACGGGATCTGGGATCACATCTTTACATTCAGCTTTCTCAGCTTAGTCGGTGATCCTTCACATTGCCGCATTCGAAGTCGACGGTTCATCGTGGCTACTTTTGTTCTGCCTTTCGGTACTGTGTACCGGTTTATCGCTGTATGCGGAGTTTTTCTGCCATTTGATAGCCGGCCTCTCGTTTTGCGCAGAGTGCTGTCTTTTGAACTCCCCACTAGCGTGCTTCTCCTCTATGCTGTTAGGGTATCTTAGATTTTTCCAGCATATTATGCGCCATCTAACTGCGCCCGCTCTGACCATACCTCTCTCGTGCCCAAGCTAAGCGCCCGCTCTCATGGTCTGTCGTGTCAACGATGGCTCCCAGCTGATGGATTATTCCCAGTGCCGCTTTGTATTGCGATAGAGCCTTCTTCCACTGTTTATTTCGCCGTTTCCGCGTCTTTGCTAGCGTTTGCTAAAAGCTTCCTTGCTCTGTCAGGAGTCACGGAAAGCACGCTGCTCTCGTCACTGTCGGAGTCGTTGATAGCTTTTCTCTCCAGCGAGCGACTTTCTTCCTTCCTCTTCCTTGTTGGTTTGTCTTTTTTTATTGTTGTTCATCTTGGTCGTACGACAACCTGTCCGACTAAGCGGAAGTAGTGGCTAATAATCAGAACGGAAGCGCATCACACCCTGATCACAACTATAATATATTTAGAAAAGCTATAAAGGAGCTTAAGCACACAGCACTGACCTCTGATCTTAGTCGGATACCGTTCTGGCATCGCACAGGCTCACCCTGTAGTACCCATTTCCAGTCGGAACCCTCGCGGAGCTTTTAGTTAAGGTTTTTCGTCAACATTTCTTGTAACGGGGAGGGCATAGATGTTTTTGTAGCAGCCTGTGGACTGTGGAACGCCCCACATTTAAAGTTCTTCTGGCGGGTAGTCGACAAGTTCATTTAGATTACCTGCAAATAGTATATGTAATGTCTTGGCGAGATCCTCACGTAGCAGCCTCCTAACCTAACTTAATCTGCCTCGGAGTACCTATATCGATGCAGAGATATGTAGACTCAATGTAAGTCTCGCTAAGACTGAAATTACGCTTTCGCAGCACACTCTAAGTAGAGTTGGCTTGGTTTTCGCTACCGAGTTAAAGTAGCTTGGATTATGCTAATTTCCACTTCCGCTTATTTAGTTTTCTAGACTTAAAGCATATCGCCATATTTAAAGATGGCTCAAAGCTCAGAAAAGCTTGACAGCAGAGTTTACTTACCTCAATTCTCTCTGAATTTTTGGAAATTGCTGTTTTTTAAGCTGAATAAAAGGCAATACAAATTAGTTTGGAAAAGTTTCGGAAGTAGAACGCTCTGTATCTATTATCAGCAGAATATGGTATAGCGACATCTGGCCAACGCCAGGGTAAACCACAAATACGTTGAAGCCAAGGTTCGCTTAAAGGCGGTAGTGATTACCAGGCATACCAGATTGCCCACAAGAATTAGGCTGGCAGTACTTTCAAGAAATCAAAGTTTTCTGCGTGCAGTCAACGGTACAGGTGCTATACCAGAGCCCCGGCTTGGCTATAACGATCTGTTTGCGGTGCTTCTAGATGCGACTTCTAACAACGTGAAGCCGGCGTTGAAGAAGTGGTGAGAGAATGAGACACAGTTGCCACAGCTGGTCATTGATCTCGCTAGTTTTAGGGGGTGAAAAAAGTTAAAAACAAAAAAAATGATTATGGGTTTTAACCGCCAAACAAAAAGGACATACATACATACATACATACATACATACATACATATGTATGTTGTATATAATTTTGTGAACTTCAAATTCTATTAAGTGTCGTCGCATTTTAGCCTTCGGTTTGAACTTTTTTTTATTTAGAATTATATGTGTGCTTCTACCTTTTTTGGTCACCGTAGCACGAATTAATTGTTTTTTTTTTATAGTTAATTCCAATCGTTCCATTAACAATGCTACACAAAATATGTACATACATATGTATGTATGAAGTGCATGCCTACATGTGTTCATATTCAGTTATTACAAATTATACGAGCATTACCTTAATTCGTACTCATCCACATTATTCTCATTATCTGGCTGTTAACTTTTTTCTAGCTCGAATTTAAGTGGCCTGTGTTGTTTGGGGGTTTAAATACTTTTAAATGTTTAAAAATTCAGTTTGCATCGGTCGATAATAACACTTACAACAAGACAGTTTGATTGATTGGACCAAACCAGTACGTTTTCTCTAATAAAATCTATATTTACAATATTATTCATAAATGCTACGGAAAGTGTGTAGTTTCACTGTAAAATGGAGTACTTACTTCTTAATTGCTTGGCTTTACAATTTAGTGCAAATAAGTGAAAGTAAGTGAAAATGTTTAAAAGTTTTTGTTGAAAAAAAAATCTTAGTCTTAGTTGTTTTAAATAAGTGATAAAAAATGTAAGAAACGATAATTATAAGTTTCTAAAGAGAGTGAAAATACCTCAGCTTATAATGCAATATACAAGACCAGTCGGGATAGTCACAAAACGGCGTTAAACTATCTAAATGTAGTAATACTGATCACAAGGAAGTAGTAAAATTCGGACGCTTTTCTAGTTCCTTCCTATGGTGCCGGTAACTTTTTGTCTTCGTTTTAGTCGCTGTCTTCATATACATACATATTCGCCTTCGTATAAGTCTTCGCATTTATCTTTGTCTTGGTTTTAGTCAGTGACATCCAGGAGAAGGCAGAATATTTTTCATTTACAATTTTTTTATTTTATTTTTTATAAAGGTACGTTCACTCTATTGGCCTTATTAATAAAAAATAAAATTTGTGTGTATGAAGTTTTTTTAAATTTGGTATAAAACTGTACTTTTACTTTACATTCGGTATAAATTTTGAGCATCGTTTTGCAGTTCGCTGGTATATCGTTTATGCGGGCTGCAAGGGAATCGGTTTTGCCACCCACCGGCGAGTCGTTTTTTCGACCTTCCTAAGAGCCGCTTTTGCGACCCGCCAGTAAGTCAGTTTTGCGGCCGCCGGCGAACTGTGCTTTTCATCCTACGACGAGTTGGTGGGCGAGTCATTTGCGACCGTCGCCGGCGAACAAATTGTTCACCAGAACGAGTCGGAAACAACGTTTGGCTACTTGGGATCGCATTCGTCTTCGAAATGTATCCGTATAATCTTCGCATCAGTATTCCCACTTCATATTCTTCGTCTTATTATTCTTTTTATTCATTATCGACTTCGTATTCGAATTCAACTCCGTATTTGTCTTTGTATAAGCCTTCGCGTTTACCTATGTGGATTCGCCTTTGTATACATCTTCGTATTCGTGGTCGTATTCTTATTCGTATTTAACAAAGCTGTCGTCTTCGTATTAATCTTCGTGTTCATCCTCTTTTTCGAATTTCTCTCCAGATAGGCAAGCACGAATACGAATGTCTGAGTATTTGTCCTCGTATTCGAATTCGTCTTAATAAATGTAGCTACGTCTTCGTCTTCATAAATTCTCCCCACTCATCTTCGTTATCGTTTTGTAATCGTATTTCTACTCGTAGTTGCTTTCTTGTTCGTATTCGTGCTCATCATCGTATTATTCCTCGTCCAAATACAACTCGAATTGAAAAGCTTGCAACAATAACTACACACAAAAGCGTAAATTTTGATAAGTCGGTTGCAGCTGTAAATTTCAATCATAGACCATACAGAAAAATACCTTTCCAATAGTG